GTGTTAAGGAAAATAAGTAAAATTATGTATTTAATCCAGGTGGTTTGTGCGTAGACTTTGCTAATTTTGAGGCGCTGATTACTATATGACATTAGAATGTTAATCCGAACTCTTTTTTTAAAGCTCCGGCAGAGCCTAGCTATGGCTCATGAGTCACGACCCGACTTTGTGGCTAAAAGTAATGAGATTCGATTTCTTTTTTTTTTCTTTTCTTATATTTATGCCTTTTTCGTTTTTATTTCCCCGGCGGTGTTTTTTTCTTCTAAATCGAATCTCTTTACTTTTAGTCAGAAAGTTTTGTTTTCCACTTCCACTTCACTTCGACGCTTTCTCACTTGTTGACACCACGTTGATTTGTTAATTTCCTGTAAAAATATACTCCTTTATGTTTCCTCTTTGTTGTGTTTTACTTTGTTAATGTGTTAATTTTTTTTCTTGTTATTGTTCTGAGGTGTTGTTTTTCTATTTTTTGTGTATTTATATATAGCGTAAATGTCATTTCATCCTTGATGTTGTTCCTACCTTTTAAATATTATATAAATGTGTTATGTTAGAGCGTGTCTCTACCAAAACCGAACACATGTATTGAAACATGCCCCTTATGTGTATTTTCATAATTGACATGTTATATCTTGTACCTTTTCTTGAATTACACACGTTTAGGGTTAAAACGGCCAATTTTTCGGGATAGATGGACGCTTGTTAATTCTTGTGGTTGTTTAATAATTATGTGCTGTTCTAATTTTAAATTCATTCTCTTGTTAAACCTTTATTTTTCACGTTTCACTCTGTGTAGCTACAAATGATGTTCTGGATGCTTAAAACAGAGCACAAGAAATTCTGGTGCTTTAGATTAAGTTGCCTCTATCAACGTATTGCTATACATGTATACATCTTCACAGAGAATTAAAAGCTTGAAAATTAATGGCAACTTTTACTTCAACTTTTGCCATTTTTGTGGCAACTTTTTGACAACAACAAAATGGCAAGAAACACAAATGCTAGCCTAATATAATTATAAGAGTAGGCCTAGTTAGAATTAGAGTTTCTATGACAATTGAATGTTCAAAACACTTACTTGTGTTGTTGTATTTTGTACTCGGAGTATTTGATAAAATGCTCAAGGGTCGATGTTCTTCTAACCCGATGTTCATCGATTATACATGTAGTGTAGGCCTGCATTACCGTATAT